TATAAGTGATTGTGTGAGCATGTAAGTGAGTGAGTGAGCGAGTGAGTGTGTAATGAGTGAGCGTGTAAGTGGGTGAGCATGTGAGTGAGTGAGTGTGTAAGTGAGTGGGTGTGTAAGTGAGTGAGTGTGTAAATGAGTGAGTGTGTGAGTGAGCATGTAAGTGAATGAGTGTGTAAGTGATTATGTGAGCGAGCGAGCGAGCGAGTGAGTGAGTGAGCCTCACTGGCACTATTCTCTGAAGTGTTTTCTTTGACCGGATTTGAGACGTCGCAGAGGAACTCTCGTTTCACCAATAAACTCGTTGTGGCTCAATTTATCTTCATCACAAACCGATATCCTGAGAATATAATAATATATTAATAATAATAATATGTTAATAATAGTAATACATTAATATAACATAGGAATAAAATATTATAATACTATAATAATACTATAATAATAACATAATTATAATAAATTAATATTATAATAATATAATACAATAATAATGGTATAATTATAATAACATAATAATATTAATAATAATATATAACAATATAATAAAATCATAATAAAATCATAATAAAATCATAATAACATAATAATACAATACTACAATGCAATTACAATATATCATAATAATTATACTAATAATAAAATAATATAACAAAATAATAAAATAATTTTAATGTCATAATATATAATAAAATCATAATACTACAATATACCTATAACATAATATAATCATATATCATAACATAATATAATCATATATCATCACATAATATAATTATATAAAAATGTAATTATGATATAACATACTCTAATTATAATACAATGACATACTCTAATAAAATAATAAGAACACTCTGATTTAATAATATACTTATCATAAATACACTAATAATATAATACAATAATAATATAACAATATAATATCATAACATAATATTATAGTAATAATGTAATCATAATATAATAACACTATAATATAATAACACTATGATATAACACCATACTCTAGTAATGTAATACAATAATAACAATATAATAAAATATAACAATAATAACATCATATAATAACACTAATATATTAATAAAACTAATAATAATGTCATTATAATACAATATAATAATACTTATGATATTAAAACATACTCTTATAATATAATACAATAATATAACAATATAATAATGTCATATATAATAATAAGTCTATCATATATTAATACAACTATTATATAATTATGTAATTATAATACCAGTATAATGTAATTATAATAACATACTCTAATATTATAACAAAATAATAATAATATAATGCATCATAAAATAAAATAATAATAATATATCATAATATAACAGCTTTTTTACCAGCGTTATCTACCTCTCATCTGCCACATTTCTGCCCATTTTACCAATCTGTCCAAGTCCTCTTGGAGGCTGGTGCTGTCCTCCTCACCATTAACAGCTTTTCCTGGCTTAGCATTGTCTGCGGATTTGGAATTTGTGCTCCTTATACCCAGGTCCAGATCATTAATATAGATCAGAAAGAGCAGTGGTCCCAATACCGACCCCTGAGGGATACCACTACACACCTCTCTCCAGTCAGAAAAGCAGCCGTTTCCTACCACTCTCTGCTTTCTGACTCCTCGCCAGTTCTGGATCCATGTTGCCACAGTCCCTTTAATACCATGGGCTTCTATTTTGTTTATAAATCTCTTATGTGGCACTACCTTCATCCACACTCTCAGTCACTTCATCAAAAAATTCTATTAGGTTTGTCAGACACGTTCTGCCTTTGACAAATCCCTGTTGACTGTCCTTTATTAAACCATACTTTTATAAGTGAGAATTTATGTTGTCAAGGATTATAGTCTCCAGAAGTTTCCCTATTACTGACGTTAGGCTGATTGGCTGTAGTTCTCAGGTTTATCCTTCTATCCTTTTGCTACAGGGGTAACATTTCCAAACTTCCAGCCCTCTGGCACCTCCCAGTGCCCAAAAAAGATTGAAAGATTGTGGCCAGAGCCTCTGCTATTTCCACCCTTGCTTCCCTCAGTAACCGTGGATGCCTCCCATCCGGACCAGGTGCCTTATCTATGTTGATACCGACCGCTTTTTCAGTACCTCCTCTCCATTGATTTTTATCGTATCCAATTTCTGTTCACACTCCTGCGATATTGTGGCATTGGTTGCATCATCTTCTTTTGTGAAGACAGTTGCAAAGTATTTATTTAGTACATCAGCCATGTCCTCTGCCTCAACAAGAAGATGTCCACTTGGGTCCCTAATTGGACCCACTCTACCTTGGACTAACCTTTTACTCTTGATATGCTTATAAAATACCTTAGGATTTCCTTTTATGTTTCCTGCTAATCTTTCCTCATACAATCTCTTCGCCCTTCTTATTTCCCTTTTCACTTCTCCTCTGTACTTCTATATTCTGTTTGATTATACTGTGTGTTTTGGAGCTGACATTTGTCATAAGCTTCCTTTTTCTGTTTTATTTTAATCCCAATTTCCTTAGTCATCCAGGGAGGTTTGACTGTCCTACATTTTCCCTTTGTGGGAATATATTTTCTCTGTCCCCAAACAAGCGCTTTGGGACGTCCTCCCGACGTGAAAAGCGCTATGTCAAATGCAAGGATTATTATTTATTATTTACTACTTGAAGGCTTCCCATTATTCGTTTGCTTCTTACCTGCCAATCTTTCTTTCCAGTCTATCTTGGCCAGGTCTCTTTTTAGCTCACTGAAATTAACCTGCTTCAAAGGCTTTACCTTTGATTGATTGTTGTCCTTTTCCATAACTATTCTAAACCTAATGATATTGTGATCACTGTTGTCCAGATGCTCTCCTACTGAAACCTGCTCCACTTGGCCCATTCATTGCCCAGAACTAAATCCAGCTCTGCTTCCTTCCTCGTTGGGCTGGAAACATGCTGATGCACAAAGTTCTCCTGCACACATTTCAGGAATTCCTCGCCCTGCTTGCCCTTTACACTATGTGTTTCCTGGTCTGTGTAATAATAATCCTTGCATTTGATATAGCACTTTTCTCGTCTTCTAGACGTCTCAAAGCAATTCACCGAATATACTGTAAACTTAATTGACTGTATAGTTTGTGGACAAAATGCGGCAGCCAATTTGGAGCACACAACAGCGTCCCACAAACATTTGTGGATTGAGCGACCAAATTATAATTATTTTTCTTGAAGGATTATTATCAGGGGTGTGGAGTAAGGAAACTTGCTCAAGGTTTCGCACTGCTGGGAATCTCTCGCTTGCGAGATAAGTGCTCTAACCACTGAACTCTACAGAAATCCAGGTACAGGACTCCACTGAGCTACAGGTGCGAGAGAGAAACAACAAAACAGTCTGCGAGAGAGAGAGAGACAGACTGCGAGAATGTGAATCCGACAGACTGCGAGAAGGAGACTGCGATGGAAAGAACGAGACAGACTGTGATAGAGAGAGGGAGAGAGAGAGAGAGGGAGAGAGAGAGAGAGACAGAGAGGAGAAGGAATGCGATGGAGAGAACGACACAAACCTTTTATTGATCCACAATGACTGTAGCGACATTATCAGCTTCAAGTTCAAACTCAATTCACTATTTGCCTCCCTGTGGCTCCAGTGGGAAATGCCTCACATCCACATTATACTGTGCAATTGCTCCAATCACCGGTGGTGACAATGGGCACTTTGTCAATCTAAAACACGATAATAATGATAATGATCCATGCATTTGATATATCACCTTATCACGTTGTTTGGACGCCTCAAAGTGTTTCGCTGTACCTTGTAGTGACTGTTTTTTTGGGTGAAACTCTGCAGCCACTTTGCGCAGAGTGACATCTCACAAACAGCTGTGGATCGAGTGACCAATTTTATTTGGGGGAGTTGTTGTTGGCTAACGAGAGAGAGAGAGAGAGAAACTCCATTCTCTTTTCAAATAGCGAATGTTGGCAGTCACTCTCAGTGTGTAATCAGTAACCGCTCATTCTTAAAGCTGAGTCTCATCAGAAACTCACTCAGATCTACAATGATTCAGGATAGAGTGAATGCGCTCGCAATCCTGTCTGTTCAGCACAATTTTCATCATGTAGTTGACATGTTTGCAAATACAAAGTCACGCAAAAAGTACTTTAAAAAGGTTTATTGTATATTTTTAATGCGTAGTTCAAAGGGCCTCAAATTTGATCTGGTTTAGGGCCCTTGATCCCTTAATCGTGCCCTGGTGAGGAGTGGATGCAGTGTAAACAGTTTTGAAGTTTACTTAAGTTAGAGTTATAAAAGGAAAATATTGTTGAATAGTAAATGGATATAGATAGGTACAGACATGTTTAAACTATAATGTAAAACAATTAATACGATTTAATCCAATTTAAAGGTATCTCTGAAGCTGAATGAATAGTTAGAAGAAAAGTGATTTTTTTAAAGCATGTTATAACATTTACAAAAGTAATTTTAAAGATAGTACTCTCTGATTCCCTCTGTTTCTGGTTCTGGAACAAAACCTTTATAAATTATAAGTCATTCACAACAGCTTCAGTCTCAACAGTATGGTTGGAGGCAGGCAATCTGATAGTGATGGAGGAAAGCAGTGTTGATCAGGGACGAGATGTGGGGGAGGAAGGACAGCTGCCTAAGTTACGCACAGATTCAGTAAGTCGCAGGGAAAGGCCGGGGGAGCTTGAGGAGGTCAGAGCCACAGGAAAGAAGGCATTGATAAGTCGTCACCGGGTCCTTTATCCTTCGAGTTACGAATTATCAGAAGTTCATTACAATAATAATGCTTGCATTTGGCACAACACCTCACAACATCATCAAAAAACATCTCACAGCCCTTCACAGAATGTGACCGTTTATATGTTGACGATCACAGAAACCAATTTGCACACAACAAAAAAGCCACAAAGCAAATGTGTAATTTTACAACAACAACAAAATTACATTTGTATAAGCGCCTTTCACGTCGGGAGGATGTCGCAAGGTACTCAATGTTCATTTGGGGTATTGTTGGTCAGGACACCAGGAGAAACTCCCTTTTCTGTTCCAATAGTGTCATGAGCTGAATCATGCACCTGAACGGATAGATGTGTTTAACATTGCAACCTAAGAACATTACCTCTGGCAACAGAGCACTCCTCCAGCACTGCACTGGAATGCCATTTACATATGTGATAAAGCGCCTTATAAATTTCCTAGAGCCCTTTTGTGTTAAAATGTTAAGAATTGTCATGATCAGGTGTTTTGTCCAGCGGATATCAGCTTCAGATATCGGGGGGGGGGGCGCTGCTTGTGGAAATGAGGTCAGTGGAGCCTTTTGCAGCCAGCTTGATCAAAAGCCCCTTAAAGTGAAGTGCATCATCCAGGTGACGCTCTTTCTACCCTATCTTTTATAATCTAGAGCTGCATGGAGTGAAAAAGAGGAAGGAAAAAGGAATCATTTAGTCAATTCAGCTACTTCTATGGCTTGTTTCACTATATGAATTCAACAGTGGAATGGTCTATTGTTTAATGGGTAGGCCCCATATCCAATATAACGTGTCTCATGCTGACAGCTCTACTCTCTATGACGTTGTGATATTTTGTACAAAGAGTGCTATTTATATGAGAAGTGTGCATCAATCCAGGTCTTGTTTCCAACCAATGAACTTCACCCAATGGAGGTAACTCAAAGATAGGCTCATGGATCTGGACTGAAGCACTTGACCCTCTGGTTGGGAATCAAGCCTATATTTGAGCAGCTGTCATGGTCTAACTATCCTGGCTTCAAGGTGAATTCATCTGTCTCCTCTGCCTCACACTGACCCATCTGAAGTTTGACAATGCCTTTACTGTGCATACGGAGGAGCTGGTAGAACTCATTTGAAGTTGAGTGCAAGTCTGGCTCTGCTAGCAGGCTGTCAAAGTAATGGTGTGACATCAACTCGCCTTCAGTGTTCTTCCCAAACGGCCAGAAGCCATAAATCCACACTTCACTGCAGAGCTCCATGGCCATACTTGCCACCGTAATGCCGGTGGAGAGATTCTGCACCTGCATCCCTTTGGAAAGCCAAAAGTGAGCCAAGTGCTTTAGATAAATAGGGTTGAAGAAGATCACTCTCTGTTTGGACTTGAAGTCCTGTAGGGTATAGTGGGCTCTGAAGGAAAGAGCTGTGTTTTTGGAGTGGTAGAAGGCTGGGAAGAGGAGGAGAGCATCATTGTAGATCACCAAGGTGTTGGCGAATGGTTTCCTTCTTTTGTGTAGCTCGGCGTACCTGAGAGTGCGAACACAACCTATCACTTACACTATCCCATTCATCTGTAACTTTTCTTAACAATAATAATCCTTACCATTGATATACCGCCTTATCATGTCTTCTAGACATCTCAAAGCGCTTCACAGAATATACCGTAAAGCGACATCAAAACATTTCAGAGCAATATGTGGGGAAATTGCTATAAGTGTATTTTGTAGGGAGGCGTGTTAACCATTTTGTGCACAGTGAGGTTCCCCACACAGCCATGGAATGAGTGACCCAATTTTTTGTGCATATGGAAGGGGAACTGTCAGTCAGGACACAGGGAGAAACTCCCTTCACTTTTCCTATTAGCACCGTGAGGTCTTCAAAATCCATCTGAACAGGCACAGAAGGTGAGCTCGGTTTAATGCCTCATCCAAAAGGACAGCGTCTTGACAAAGCGGCACAACCCCCCCACCCCCCCCACACTGCATTGGAGAATCACCCTAGATACTGAGCTCAAAGTCTCTAACATGGGGCTTGAACTCAAGGCCTTCCGACTCAGAAGCGAGGGTGAGCCAGGCTGAATGGATTTCCACCCCACGACGCCCACACTCCCCAGGGGATCCAGGGTGACTGTGGGTTTTAGTGAAGCTCCAGCCTTACCTCTCTATGATGACTTTCGGATTTGCTGTCACCAAATGTGTTTTGCTTCCAACGTCCTTGGTGAAGTTCCCACCCATGGGAGGAAGGTTACACCTGAGGAAAAGGGTGGGTGTGGGGTGTGTGATGCAAGGTACGAAAATTATTTTCTCTCCTGCATCTGTGCCCTGACATTTAGTGCACAAAAGCAATTGGATACAATAATAATAATCCTTGCATTTGATATAACCCTTTTCATGTCTTTGAGACGTCTCAAAGAACTTCATAGAATATATTGTAAAATGAATTCACTGTTCATTTTGTCGGCGAAACGTGGCAGCCAATTGCACACAGCAGTGCCCCCAAACAGCCGTGGATTGAATGACCAATTTTTTTTTTAAAAGAGGGATTATTACCCCCAGAAAGCAATCCATCAATCAAATAACAAATGGGTTCCTACTTACTGCTGGTAAACACTGCGTGTGGAGTAAGGAAATTTGCCTAAGGTTTCGCCCTGGCCGGGAATTGAACCTGGGTCTCACAGGACTCCACAATGTGCTGCAGCTCCAGAACACTACCAGAACTACTCACCGGAACACAAAATCTGCCTGATCAATCTCAGCCCCACAACTGCTGTTGTGCAGTATCCCGGCATTCCCAACCACGGCACAGCGCTGGATGGATCGACCCCTGAATGGCGAATCCTGCAAACCAAGTGGACAGTCAACACAGGAACAGAGCGGTGTGTCATGATAATAATAATAATCCTTACATTTGCTGGGAGGATGTTCTCAGAGTGCTATCAACTGAGCCAGGTTAACTCACAAAGAAGTGTAGGTCAACTCTACAGGGTTTGGCCCAGAGACCAAGCCAGTCACTGGCACACGCCAGGCACCATCACCCCACAGCAGGGGAGGATGGTCAGACAAGCAGCTCACAAGACCTCCTCAAAGTCACTCTTGAACTTCTACCTACACAGGGGATGGCAAGTTCCTTGAGGTGAGGAGGAGAGAGGGAGAGCGAGGGTGAGAGAGAGTCAGGGAGAGAGGGAGGGAGAAGATCCATTCAATATGATAAATACAGATTTAAACCAAATTAGCTATTTTTTCACCAGTTTTCAATCCCAAAGGAAAGATGGCGAATGCACAGCACCTATGACCTCAAAGTCTTTTATAGGGAATTGTAGTCAAGTGTAATGACTATGTTTTGGATTAGCGCGGCAGTCAATTTGAGATGTTCTGACATAATAGGCACCTTATCGATTGCAAAGATTATTATTGTTATAATAAACCCCCTTTCTGAATGAGACAGAGGCTTTACCTTGGGAAAGATGGCAAAGATGGAAGGAGTGATTTTAATTTTCTTTTTCGGTTCTGCTTCGTAGAACAGCTCGGTCCCCACCGGCGTGTTCCGTTGGGTGACAAAGGACCCGGAAAGTGTGCGGCAACATTTTCTCAATTCCCATCTGGAAAAGCAAGAAAACTCCTTGTCAGATGCTTTAAGAGGGTGAAACATTCAGAACAGGAGATATGTGAGCCAGTGGGCCAAAATTCCCCCTGGTCTCAGCCTTTAAGACCATTTTGGACTATCCCCTCCCCAGCCCCCAACCCCCAACCATCACGACTGCATGTTTCCTTATCCCTCCCTCACTCACTTTACTCCACAATGTCATGCATTGCTCTCGGGATGGCCTCCTCTGAGGCCATGTGATCTTGTCACATTCAATGGGCTCAATCACATCCAGCTCCAAGACCCACCCCATGTGAAGGGCAACGTATAAAGGCAAGTTGTTGTTGATGTGAAAGTCGCAACACACCACACAAAAGCATTGTTATTTTATAGGCTAAAATACCTGAAATTTTCTACTGCTCTTTTCTGTTTGCCCCATTTGCACTGATGGATCTTTGCGATGTTTCTGAGAACATCTTCCTCGGATCTCCTGGGAATAAAACATACAGTGTATGAAAGCTTGGCTGGAGCCCGGATGCTGGGACTCAATACTGTAATGAGAAGATGGTATAAGGTGGGAATCTTGGAATTGATGAGATTAGATGGGCCACATCCCAATCTCCCATGATTTTATGAACAAGGAAAACTGTATAAATCATTGAGACCATACTTAGAGTACTGTGTACAGTTCTGGTTGCCACAGTACAAAACAAATATGGGAGAAATCAATATAGGATTTCTCCCATATACTTTCTGTACTGTGGCAACCAGAATGAGGGAATGGAGGGACTGGACTATGAGGAGTGTCTAAGTAAAATGTTCATGCTGGAAAAGAGAAGATTGAGAGCCGACATGATTGCTGTCTTTAAGATTCTAAAGGGGCCAGATCTTGACAAGCTGTTCCAACTTGTGCAGAATAGTAAAACCAGAGGACAAGGCCTATGATTAAAGGGGTTAAATTCAGAACAATTCTACACAAGCACTATTTCAGTGAGCGAATAGTGAACCTGTGGAACAGACTCCCTAGGGAGACAGTTGAAGCAGGAAATGTTGATTCTTTCAAACACAGATTAGACAGTTTTCTTTTAGAAAATAACATTATGGAATATAGTACATAGGGAGTTTGGGACATGTCAAGCGAACGCCAGCGAGGTGGAAGGCAAACTAGATGGACCTTTGTCTTTTTTTTCGTCTAACATTTCTTATGTTCTTGTGTTAAGGAAGTGAAGAAAACACATTCATGGCAGGTTTCCAGATATAATAAGCATCATAATAATAATCCTTGCATTCACCCACAAATATACAGTCAATCCACTTTGCTGCGTATTCGGTGAAGCGCTTTGAGAAGTCTAGAAGACGTGAAAAGCGCTATATCAAATGTAAGGATTATTATTATTGATATAGCGCCTTATCATGTTGAGAAGTTGGAAAGTGTTTCATAGAATATACTGTAAAGTGAGCGTAAGAAAGAAAAGATAATTCTGATTAAAATATAATAATTCTTGCATTTGATATAATTTTGCACACCCAGAAATGTGGAAACCATGTTTGATTGCTTCTCCTCTCCCCGATATAACGCATGGGTGCTGAGGGCAAATCAACTGCTCGTGTCTCAGATCAATCAACTCAGCCAGGAATAGAAGCTACTTATCTCTCTTAACCTGACACAGAAATAGAACATGATGCCACAGTTTCCAGGGAAGATAGTTTGTAAAACAACCTGGTGACCATTCATTAACCATTCGGTGATTGTTCGAATTGTACCTAGCAGTAAGTAGGAACCCGGTTGTTAGTCGATTGGCGGATTGCTTTTCCAGGGATAATAATCGCTTCAAAACTAAATACATAAATAACAAATTAATAATTTGGTCACTCAAGCATGACTGTTTGTGGGACACTGTTGTGTGTAATATACAGTCAATTCACTTTACAGTACATTCTGTGAAGCGCTTTCAGACATCTCAAAGACGTGATAAGTCATCTCAAAGACGTGATATTCTGCGACCTCCCGATGTGGCCGTTTCCTTTGCGCAAAACGGCCAAATCGGGTTTGCTTCATGTCCCCCCCACCCCATCTGCCCCACCATCACCATTTTGCCCCAGCTCTCTGGAACTCCATTCCTGGAGTCCCTCTGACTCTCTCCTTTCTCCCCTCTTTCAAGGCACATCAAGAACTAACTCTTTGACCACACTTTAGGTCATCTTTTCCCCTCCCCACCTCTATTAGCTCCTACCCCCAGCTCAGGTACCCAGCCGGCAGTGTCGAGCACTGTGAGATGTCCTTCCAACATGAAAACCGTGCTGTGTCACTGTAATGTTTCTGGAAGGGAAACACAAAAAATTGCTTTTGCCACTTGCGGACATGTCTCAAATAGGGAATCCATCCCTCGGCAGCCAAAAGGTTGGACACCCCTGATCTGCAGTGCGTATGTTGTTGAAATATATTGATATCGCCTCAGGATACATTGGTATATTTCAAACAGCAACTGAATGTTCCAGAAGGTTTGATAGTTAAATGGTTAAAAGTAGCTTTGCTGGACAGGCTGAGGTCAGCTTCTGATTACATTTCACATTTTCCTGGAAAGATGGTTACTCCTCTGAGATAATGAACATTCGGGTCCTTTAGCATAGTCGTAAGAACAGTGGACTACAGAAAGCAAAGGCTGCAGCCGCAGACACCTGCCTATCTCAAGGCTGAGAAACAAGTAGCTGTGGAAGGCTGCCCAGAAGTTGTCCATATCTCTCTCTCTGCAAAGCAGCCTGCGAAGTGTGGGAGCTATCTCTGTGACATGTGGAGATGGAGTTAGAAACACATCAAAGATGTAAGTTTGAAATAGTTGGGAGTTGTGTCGAGGGTCAGCACTTCCCAGTGGAATCAATATTGATTCTACTGTAGCTATGTATATGTACAGGAGTGAGGGAGTTTACCTCCAGTAAGAAAGTGACCATTAAAAGTGAAAGAGGAGGAATAGTGGGTAATATGATTTTGGTTCCGTTTGCTTGGCAGAGAAGTAACAACAGTAGAAGTGGTTGGTCCAGGGAAACCCAGAAGTCAGGTAAGGCAGTATGAGTTGGGTGTTGGGCTAATAGCTGGTTGAGTTTGTTCAGTTTACCGGAGACACTCTCTGTGATTTGGTGTTACCATTGTTGATTGAATATTGTTGTGTGTGACTTGTTGGGTCCGAGGGTTTACCGGACGCCAGTCCCTATTTAGTGTTGGTATTACAAGAATCAGTTGCCTCTGAGGGTTATTTCCAGGGGCTGATCTCCAGTGTATGTCAATGTGTGATCCCAGGTCTACTGTTTAGTCTGGGCTGGGGTACAAAACCGTGCCTGGATACGTGTTGTCGTCCCTGTATCGTCAGTACTACTGTTTGGTCTGGAGTACCGAACAGTGTCTGGAAGCGTGTTTGTTTTGTACACCTGTGTCATATTATTATTGTGTTGTTGTATGTCATAAAGTTAATTGTAGATAGTGAGCTTTGCTGTTTGTTTTATAAAATAAACACTATACTCTTACCACCGTCTGTCGAATTATTAACAATGTGTAATTCAATGCAGCAGTAAGTGCATCTGCAATCACAAGCCAAGACTGCGTTTCCCGCGATACAATGCGTTTTGACCTGTCGCTGGGATTGAGGTGCAGTGTAGGACTGTGGGAAACAAATAAAAACCTCACAGTAAAATCAGGTAAAGCGTTTACAAGACCTCGGGGCGAGTGAAAAGGCCCAATATCAAATGTGGGGATTATTATAAAACAAACATGAAACAGTGAAAGGGATCCAGTGCGCTGGGGTGGCAATTTCTATTAAAAATTGCCATTTGGGTTTCATTGACCGCCCGACTGAGCAGTTCAGATTAGTGAGAGGCAAGGAAACGGGGTCTCACCACTGGTTGGAGGCGGAGGCAATCCTGTTGTAAAGCTTCTCACATGCAGGTCGTTTGTCCTCCAACAGGAACAGTGATTTCAGCCTCTGGCTAAAAACAGGAAGAAAGCGCTAAGTGTTAGGGGAATGTACACAGTCAGGGAAACGCTAACCTCCTACACTGATTGCAGCTCAGGGAAGTACACACACACAAAAAAAGCTACACAAGCAAAAAATTTAAATTATGCAAAATTATGCCCCAAACCTTTTTTTACTATTTAAATAATACTCATTGCTTTTAATATAGCACCTTATCGCAACTAGGTCCTACTTACTTGCGAGGTAAACAGAGGCATGTGAAGTAAGGAAACTGGCCAGGAATCGAACTCAGATCTCTTGCTTAGGAGGCGAGCGCTCTAACCACTGAGCTACAGGACTCCACATGAACTGAGATCAGCTAATTCAACACCAACTATAATAATAATAATAATAATAATCCTTGCATTTGATATAGCGCTTTTCACGTCAGGAGGACGTCCTAAAGCGCTTCACAGAACACACTGTAAAGTGAATTGACTGTATATTTGTGGGCGAACGCGGCAGCCAATTGCGCACAGCAATGTCCCACAAACAGTCGTAGATTGAAAATGACCAATTTAATTATTGTTTTTGGTTTTTTGGAGGGATTATTATTAGGCTCTGTGTGGAGTAAGGAAACTTGCCCAAGGTTTCGCCCTCTGCCTGGAATTGAACTCAGGTCTCTCACTTGCAAAGCGAGTGCTCTAACCACTGAGCTACAGGACTAGTGATTAAAGCTGGAGTTTCCCTGTCTACACCATGTGAGCCACGAGGGATACCAGAATACAATTAAAATCCAATCAAAACATCTCATCGTCTGACTCTTCCAGGTACTGAATAGGCTTTCTTGCATGCCCAGTAATATTCTATGATTCTATATGATCCTATCGCTCTCCGCACCTCATCATATAGAATCATAGAATATTATAACACAGAAGGAGGCAATTCAGCCAATCTTGCTTGCTCTTTAGAAGAGGTACGCAATATGTCCTGCTCCCGGAGGCAACACAGAGAGCTACGGGAAGAGAGATGGAGTGCAAGGTATGAAGTATTTCAGCCATATTACATACTTACGCAAAGCAACACATGTTATGCGCAAAATCACGAGGGTGAGTAATTACGTAATTTCCCAGGGTGTAACTGATAATAATCCTTGCATTTTATTTAGCACCTTATCACTGCTTCGAGATGTCTCAAAGTGGCTCACACACTGTAAAGTGATGTGACTGTGTGCATTTTGTGGGTGAATGCAATAGCTAATTTGCACACAGCAATATCCCATAAACAACAACAACAAGATTACATTTGTATAGCGCCTTTCACGTCGAGAGGACGTAATAAACAGCCATGGAGTGAGTGATAAATTTAATTTGAGCCAGGATACTGGGAAAAACTCCTTTCTCTTGGGATCTCCTTTGCCATGGGATCTCTAACATCCACCTGAACAGGCAGGTAGACAGGGCCTCGGTTTAACATCTTATCCGAAAGACGGCACCTCTGACAATGCAATACTATACCAAACATTAGAATAGATGATATGCGTTCCATGTCTTGACATGAGACGTGAACCCAGAACCTTCAGACTCAGAGGCAAGAGCACGATAGCTGAGCAGGCTGACATACCAATACATTGGTAACAAATTTAAGATCGATATATTTGATATAACATCAGCCAGGCAGTTGCTTTACATCCACCTGATTCACAAGAGAGAAGTTGACCTGAAATTAATAACACAATCCAAAATTTAATCTCAGTTAGATTCCTAGAAAAAATACAGTACAGTATTTCAAAAATATTTTAGAAAAATAGTAAAAAGTTATGAAGTTTAGTTTCAATTTAGAAGCTGGGTCTGTTTACTAATGGCAGGAATAGCGTAAAATAAATTTTGCACAACTCTGCGAGCTTCGATTTTGAGATCCCGCAACACAATTGTAAAAAGAGTAGGGAGTTTCCCCTGGTGTCCTGGCTGACAATCACCTAGATAAAAATATTGGTCGTTCACTTCATGGCTGTTTGTAGGACATTACCATGCGCAAAGGGCTACTGCATTCGCTTATAAATAAACTGACACGACACTTCACAGAAAAACTGCTTCAACATTATAAGGCACTGTATCAAGTGCAAGAGTTAGCTCAGCCACTAATGCTAACCGCTCAGATCCCAAATTGGCAGCTCCACTATAGCAACACGTCCTGATTCAGCAGGGAGTAAAGGGAGATGTGTGCGGAGGTGGCAGAATGGGCAATTACATCCATCAACAGGAGAGGGGTGGCACAAAGAGACAATCAGTCCATTCTTAGTTGCTCTCTACTCTCAGTTGCTCATGTGAGAGCTGCCCCCAGGTGAGCACATGCATCTTACCTGGTGCTTTCACAGCTCGAACAATCGGTGGGCACGTCTAAACTTTCATTCTGATTAGCTTGGGACCTTGAACCAAACATATAATTTAGCTTCAGTTTTGAAAGTTGCACCATGTACCTGCAAAAAAAATAATCCCAGTGACTAGCCCATAGCATCAGGGGGTCTATCTCTACATTGACCCTGGTCATCTCAAAGCTCTTTTTTAGTTCTATGCATTTCTAAGTAATAATCCTTGCATTTGTTACAGCATCTTCCATGTCGGGAGGACACTATAAAGTGTTTTGAGGCAAACTCAGCAGTCAACTTGCACACAGCCATGTACCGTAAGCTAAAAGACACATTTGATGTGTGCATTGCTTATGCAGCTCCCCATCCCTTAGAGGATCAAATTCAAGATCCTCGTCCTCACTTTCAAGGCAATCCATGGCCTTGCCCCTTCTACCACTCTGACCTGCTGACTCCCTACCAACCTGCCCGCTCCCTCCGCTCATCAGGCTGTGGCCTGCTCCATGTCTCCCGCCCGAGTCATCCTACCATCAATGGCCGGGCTTTCAGCCTCTCTGCCCCCACACTCTGGAACTCCATCCCACGGTCCCTTCGCCTCGCTTCCTCCATTGCCTCCTTCATAGGTCTCAACCTCCTCTTCGATCATGCCTTCAGTTACCCTCCCACCTCTCTGCCTTCCCTCACCCCTACCTTATCCCTCCCCCATGATAGGGTCCTGACCCCTGACTGTCCAACGCCTCGGGACGTCTTCCTGACGTGAAAGGCATTCTAGAAATTTAATTTTGTTGTTGTTGATCTGGAGAAACTCCCCTCTCTTGGAATTGGATATATGCTGCAAAAGAAAAAATTTGCAAGGCTACAGAAAGAGTGGGCGGTGGGGGGACAGGATGGGACGAATTATTATTATTATTTTATTATTATTAGCATTTGATATAGCGCTTTTCACGTCGGGAGGACATCCCAAAGCGCTTCACAGAACACACTGTAAAGTGAATTGACTGTATATTTGTGGGCGAACGCGGCAGCCAATTGCGCACAGCAATGTCCCACAAACAGTCGTAGATTGAAAATGACCAATTTTATTATTGAATGAATTGGATAATTCTTTAAAAGAGCCAGCATACACATGATGGGCTGAATGGCCTCCTTCTGTGCTGTAAAATTCTATGATTCTTTTTGAAAAGTGATGCAGGATCTTTAATGTCCACCTGAACAAGTAAATAGGATCTTGGCTTAACACCTTATCTGAAGGTCGGAGCCTCTGACAATGCAGTGCACTGGGAGTTTGAGTGGGTGGAGTTCATGACAGCTGAGATTGGTGGAAGGAGCAGGTTTGATGGGGTGAGCACTCTGCATGCCTCAAAGTAACTTGCAGTTTGATGCTTGAACACAATAAAACCACCAGCAATGACCATGAGCAATAGACCTTCTGTATACCAAAAGCTAAATGCTTACCCTTCATCAATGCATCCACTGCATTACTAAACCAAACAGATCAAAAGGTTACAACGTCAAGTAACTTGACATCAGGGTTCAAATGTGACCTCTCCCTCATACACCCCCTGTCCCTGAGTCAAATAGTCTGTCAAACACACAAATTAATACTATCCAAATTTCCAGATGGAACAGGAGTCAAAATGGATTCAGGGGAGGAGAGAGGGAGGGAGAGAAGGAGGGGGTGGGGGTGGGTGAGGGGAAGAAAGCGAGAAAACTTGGGCAAATAATAAAAAAAGACAGACCTCTTGTCCGTTTCGGTTGAATTTCAGGCAAGGACGCAACACTAACACCCACCCCCCCCCCCCCCACCCCCACCCCCACAGCAACACAGAGCGCATATTGCAGTCAGGGTTGGCTTGTGATGCGAGAACAAACTCATTGCTGAATTATTGCAAAAATGTACAGATTCCTTACCTGTAATTAAGTGGTTCCTCAAAATTAACAAGAATTCCAAACAGAAAGATGCAAACGCCGCAGCTGATCAGCACAGTTCTGACCACACATTGATGAACCATATCATAAGCTGTTCACATACAGTCAGGGGCAGGAGGACGGACTGAATCGTCTTAAAGGACACATGAGAATGTTGCAGAGGTCAGAGCCGGACACTCTGTTTGCATCTGTCAACTTGCCATTCTCTGCTGTTTTTGCGTCCTTGACGTTGCCCTTTAACTCTGCAGCAGTTTGTGATTTTGTCTGTTCCGAGAGCGTCCAGTAATGAGATCCGTCACCGGCTCCTCATTCTGCGACAGACTGAGAAGGACTGTGCGTTATTCAAGGACTGAACATTATGAATTACAGGAACAGTTGATGCCAGAAATTATGACAACAGCAAACATGGGATTTTACTGCACAAACCTGATACAGTACTCACTTGTTTCACATTGGATTCCAAGAGCTGTCTGTCTCACAACCTCTCTCAAAAACAAATCCGTCAATGCAGAATAACCTGAAGCTTTATTCCTATCTCTCTCTTCTCTCCTCAGCCTCGGGTCAGATTCACTGACAGACATTACTCACAGCGAATCGCTGGCAGCAATTGTGCCTTCGCCACTCTTGGCCTACACCAATGATATGACTAAAGGTGGGACTTCCTATTATTGTTGGTGACAAAATGAGTAAATTTCAGTGCTTTAAATTTTATATTTCAGCTGATTACTCATTCTCATTATGGGGGCGGGGATGCGCTTTAGGATCAGCACATTCTCTGGAGTACTAATTTAGGTAATAAAACCAGAAATCGCTGGGAAAACTCATCAGGTCAGGCAGCATCTATGGAGATAGGAAAATGAATTAACATTTCTGATGGATGATCTTTTGTCAGAGTTCTGACGAAAAGTTATCGACCTGAAACGTATTTGTTTTTATTTCAGATTTTCAGCATCTGCAGTATTTTTCCTTTTGTTTATTTAATAATTTAGGTATTTTTGCAGTGTTTTTTGGGGGGTGGTCAGCCCTTCTGACACATGTGGAAACCCATCACCATGCTTAAACCAATCTGAGTCCCATGCATCCCACCTACACAAGGAAATCCTGGAGATAGATTGTTGAAATGGAATATACACCTGGAAGGAAGCATCCTGCTTACCTTATTTTGGAGCGTATTAGGCACAGGTTGGCAAGAGCCAATGCTCGAGACCCCAAAGTGTACATTGGGGTACTACTGGAGTCCAACCAGTTAAAATCACATAGCTTGCCATTGAAATCACGTAGCTTGTCACTGTCAAGCTTTTCCTGCTGCTTGCCCATCTAGGATCAGCCGACCCGAGAGCACAAAGTTAACAACTCAGTGGGAAGAGTCCCTGCCTCCAGTAACTGGTCTGCCTTTCGAGGTCCTGACAATGAGCCAAGCTGGCTGTTTTGACTAGTGTTATAAATCTACACAAAGGAACACAAGTCAAACAAGTGGTAAATCTTACCTATGAACAACCTCAACAGATCACCTTGGTGGTTGTCATTTTCAAGATAGTGGAAATCACTAATAAGGTCAGCAAACGGTCTGAGGAACTGTGACCACTTTAGTGAATTTAACCACAAGTGGGGTGGCCTTAAGGTGAATTTCTACTCGTGTCATCTCTATTCACATCTACCTTAAATTGTTTTCACCTATGGTGTGGAACATAGCTAACTATTATTCCCATTTGAAGTTATGAACACAGCTTTTTTTTGGGCACTGCAACTTGCTCAGTCCTATCAGCATAACAGTAGTAAAATGCCTCAGACTTCCTCAAGCCTCATTAGTTTGTTAGTACAGTAAAAGTGATGAGCAACATCCCTTCAATTCTGAGTGTTTGTCATTCAAAAGGCATTCTGTGACTATCGGGTGGTGGTGGTTGGGGGGGAAAAGCTGGCTCCAAGGTGACCTGCTTGCCAATGGAACGTCAGAATAGAGCAGCCAACTCTCTGTGATGGACTCGAAGTCCAGTTCCTGAGGCTGGTGGGTCCAGAGAATTCCAGGGCAACAACAAAATTACATTTGTACAGCACATTTCACATCAGGAGGATGCCCCAAGGCGCTGTACAGTCAGCTTTTCAGATCCGAGCTGAGGGTCTGGATCAGAGAGGGTGGAAGGCAGCAGGGGGAAGGAAGGTGATTGAAGAGGACCGAAGACGGTCAAAGAGTAGGGTCTTGAGGGGAGTCTTCAAGGGAGGGGGCGAGGCAGAGGGACTGCAGGATGGGGTTCAAGAAGGTGGGGGCAGAAATTGGTCCAAATTGCCTGTTTAAGTGAGTGTTAAAAATCCCATTGACTGATCAAAATTTCCTCCCAGTGCTCTGACCAACAATCCAAATACATTGCATCATTCACCCAAGGCTTTGTGAGACCTTTATCCGATATATTTGCATTTATCCGAATCATCAGTTTCTGAGCACGAGAGGATGTATATTTGCTACAGCCCATTCCTTTGCTACAATTGTTTGACCACAAGCCTCCCTCACAGCCAAGCCTGCCCCTTTAAAGTGAACAATGAGCCTTCTCCACCAGTACAAGCTGTTAGCCAATTTCAGCCAGAGCAATAAAATTGGCCTCAGGACCCAAAGAGATGCCATTTCTCCACACCTGATTTTCTGGTGAAAGCAAGAATGTTCTGCGTGTACTGCTATTGAGCAATGTCTAAGGCAAGAGGGTGATCGAAAGCACGGTCAAAGAGGGTCTTGAAGAAGGCAAGGAAGGGGCAAAGTGGAGAATGCAGAGCAGAGTTTCAGAGGGTGGGGGCAGAGTGGCAGAAGGCCCACTGTCAATGGTAGGGTGGGCAAGGGATGTGAAGCAGGCTGGAGCACACTGAACGGAGGGAGTGGGCGGGATGGCACGGGGTTAGGAGGTCAGAGAGGCAGGGGAACCAAGGCCTTGGAGGACTTTGACAGTGAGGACCAGGATCTCAAACTGTGCTCGAGTGATGGTCAAACAGGACTCCATGGTTGAACTCAACAAGCTCCTCCCCAGGGCTTAATTATAAAAAAAACACACAACTGAGCTGGTGCAATGGCCACTTTAATTAATTTCCAGGTCTGTACAGGTGAAATCCATTATTTTTTGGACTCCTCTTCCTTGGACAGACTCTTAATGATCTCTTCCCTCTTGGCCTGCAGACGCTCCTCACGACGCTTGCGAGCTTCCTTGGTCCTGGATCTGCGAGCTTCAGCTTGGTCACTGAAATAAGAAAAAACAATTATTAAGAGATTTCCTTCAAGCTTTACTCTATTAACCAACCTCTGAATAGTAAAGACATCGAAACCAGACAATGTCCAACAGGCCAAAAGATAGTTGCAAACGACCACAACAAAAATCAGGTCGAAAATACATGTGTAATCAGGTCTAACACGCAGAACTTGCTCGAAGTACTTACGCCAAAAGCTTCTTGCGGGCCTTGTCTGCCTTCAGCTTGTGAATGTGCTCCATCAAGATACGTTTGTTCTTGAACACATTGCCCTTCACTTTCAGGTACAAGCTGTGGTACCTAAGGATTTAATGGTAAATAAATTGAATTCCTATTCTTCATACCACCATTCGGTTATCAATATGCAGTGAAACAAGCTGGAATTTTTGAGAACAAACACCTACAAATAGTCACTACACTGTAAAGAGTTTTGAGATGTCCTTGACAATGTGACACATGATTTCTATTCTTATCAACTTTATTGTATTAGCTTGATTCCGTTACTAGCACTGGACCAGGGATTCTGGGTTAAGTCATTTGGGATTTCAGCTCTTAGCAGTTAAACTGAAGTCCAGTCTGCCTGCTCAGATGCACAAACAGTAAAGAGAAGGCATTTCTCTTGGCTTCCTGGCCAACAATCTTCCAGATTAACATTCATTGACTTCCTGGCTGATTCTGGGATCTTGTCGGTACAGCATACACTTGCTTGCTACAAGCCTCAACAGTAATTGCTATGAAGTGCATCAGAAGATGATTTGATACAGCACTATAACTGCAGGTTATTCTATGCCCCTCCAATCCAGTGAAACACACAATTTTCACATTGATCCTTATACTATCACCCCTCGTCCTCAGGATCACCTGTAAACACACAGGCAGCAATACTCTCCCTGTAGCTGTTGTCCTTTGTTATACCATACCAAAAACTGCATGCAATATTTCATGTGGGCAAATCAAGAAAAATGTATCTTGCACATCTCCTATCATCACCACAATATGCTCACCAACCATTCCTCTTGGATTGCAAAGAGGGTTCACTGCCTATTAAAATGATAGGTCTTAGGGGAGGTTAAAAAATCTTGCAATTGTTGAACCCCTGGCACCTTGATAGGCAGATTTAATTACTAGAGATTTAGACACCTGCACACATCACCAATCAACAGTTGGAGTAACTGCAAACAGGGCAGTGATAACACATGGACAGGTCTTTGTACAGATTCAAATCTTAGCCAATCACAGGTAAGAAGAGCATTACATATTAAGAGATTACTCTGGGTTGAGAACCTACCGATAATATACATAAAAAAACAAGTGCCAAGTCTTACATGTGCCTATCGATCTTCTTAGACTCCCTGTATCTGCGAAGAAGACGTCTCAGAATTCTCATTCTCCTCATCCAAGACAGTTTCTCAGGCATACGGGCATTGGCTGTACCCTTTCTCTTACCTAATTAGAATCACAAAATACACATTTATTCCTAGGTTTCTCAGCAACATGTTTAAACACAAACTAAAATGAAAATAGTCCATTCTTGCATTCACCAGCTAAAAGCATCTTTACTAGACACATTGCATCATACACACTTCAAGTATCTTTACAGCATCACCTTCCCTAAACCAGTGTTTCTTTTGAGGAAAGGCAGATCAAGAAAAACATTAAAAAGCTTGAAGTTAGCCTGTAAATGGGCACCCAAAATTTAGATTTTATCATGAATTCGAACACAAATGTTTTTGATAACTGGCACTACAAATCCTGGCAAGTTTAAAGTACTGAAATAATGTAAAAGTTAAATGTAGAAAAGACAATGCCACTTGAATGAACCTAGCACCATCAAACTGATTTACATGTCATAACTATTTATATACAAAAGCAAAGCAGTATTTACCAATGCCCATGTGTCGGCCCTTTCTGCGTGCAATGGTGTTCTTCCTGCACCTGGCTCGCGAGTGCACAGTCACAGGCTTGCGGATAATCAGACCATCCTTAACCAGTTTTCTGATTTGCTGGCCTGGAAAGAATAAAAACATATAATGATCCTTGCATTTGATATAGTCCCTTATTACATCATTGATACCTCTCAAAGCACTTCACAGAATATATGGTAAAGTCGATCGACTATTTTGTGGTCAAAATTTGATTTACAACATAGTAGTGAACAAATTTATGTACTATTTGCATTCAAATAACAATTTAACTAACCACAGTATATGCCCAAGACTAATGTGGTATTTTGTAAACAGTGGTTGTTTATGAAGCTCTACAAGTCTCATTTCAGATTTTATACTAATTCTGGATAACATCCCCAACTGTTTCCTATTAACATAAACACAGAGAGATATAAAAGGCTCCAGAAGTAATAATAATAATCCTTGCATTTGATATAGCGCTTTTCACGTCGGGAGGACGCCCCAAAGCGCTTCACAGAACACACTGTAAAGTGAATTGACTGTATATTTGTGGACGAACGCGGCAGCCAATTGCGCACAGCAATGTCCCACAAACAGTCGTAGATTGAAAATGACCAATTTATTATTGGTTTTGGAGGGATTATTATTAGGCTCTGTGTGGAGTAAGGAAACTTGCTCAAGGTTTCGCCCTCTGCCTGGGATTGAACTCAGGTCTCTCACTTGCAAAGCGAGTGCTAACCACTGAGCTACAGGACTCCACGACAACTATGGCAACCATAGAGAAACAGGATTGTTTATAGGCACAGAAATGTCCTAGTGTGATTTGTGCAGCGGAGCTGACCAGCCTTCTGAGTTGCCATCAAGAGAGGATTATACCCACCGTGAGCTCATCCAGATGTAACTTCATTAGATAAAAGGTAATTTAGAAAATATTTTGTGCACTTGTGGGCAAACTGCTGACAATCAACCTCATTATATTTGTTCACAAAATGAACCAAGTACAATAGTTTGTGTTGTGAAAAAAGCAATGTTAATGGTGGTGATTAGAAACAGTTGAAACATTTTCAATTGATTTAGTTCCTACAATAGTCAAGTCGGAAAATTACTTGGCTTATAAATATTTTTAAAAATGTAACTTACGAGAGTTGGCATTGGCAATCTCATTGGTTTCATTGGGATCCAGCCATACCTTCTTCTTGCCACAGCGCAAGACACTGGAGGCAAGACGTTTTTGAAGCCTGAGCATACTGTAAAAAAGCAGATGATACTCACTTTTGTTTCCAGCTCACAAAGCAATGCAATTGTAATTGCCCAACAGACCAAGGACCTGTTTCTTGGCAGTTTTGAACTTGCTTAGCCAAGATCACATTACTAAATCACTTGCTGTTTCTTATAGTAACACTAAAAATGTCAAAAGCAAATTGTTATCGACTGTATCACGTCAATCCCAGCTATCAACACTCAATAAAGGAAAGCCACATTTTTCTCTCTTCTAGTGAAGTTGAGTTAGGGAAGTTTAGAATCTATTTCCTAGTGGCACTGTACACTGAATAAATTCCCCCATAATTTGGCATTAAATTAGAAACATTTTTTTAAAAAAAGTTCTTACCCCACTGCTGGAGACGTCAATATAGAGCTTTGTAATACAAATTTAGGGCAACAGAGGGCACTTTCCTTTGCACCTTATTTGTACTATAAGCACAGAAAGTCAAAAGTACAAAATCTCTGAACCCCTTAATGTATTAATTACATTAGGTATTTGAGTACTTTTTAACATTGGGCTATCTTCAATTTGACAAAATAATTCCCAAGTATTAACATTTGACATTTTCTCCAACCCTGCTCGACCTTAAGATCTGAGTGATAGAATACTTACTCTTACAAATTTATTCTAAGGCTAATTTTAAGCAAACCTAGCTTTAAAAGTGCAATCCAGTTAAAACATAGCTTAGCACATGGGAAAAATGCATGACTTTTACATTAGAATAGAAATTTACAGCAAAGAAAATGGTGATTCAGCTTATAATGTCAACACTGCTCTTTAAGAGTGCTCCATTCATGATATCCCTCTCTCCCAAACCGCTGCAATTATCTCCTCTTTAGAAATTTATCACACTCCCATTTGAAAGCTAACAGGAATTAGCTGCTTCGAGCCCCGTAGATCTTTCCACATCTTTACAGTTCTGTGAAACAATTTCCTAATGCCCCCTACTTGCTAATTATCTTAAATTGATAACCACTAGGTATCTACTCTCCAACCGGTGGCAATTATTTGTTGAAGCACATCAGCTCCATGAAATCTGCAATTGCAGATGCACTTCCCCCCACCCATCATCACTACAGCACTGACTTGGATGCCATGACTTAATATACAAAGCCAAGCAGCATTTACTAATGCCAAATTACTAATGTCGACCCCTTCTATGTGCAGGAACAAGCATACACGTGCTGCACCCAAGGCTAGACCAATCAGCATGGTTCCCCTCTGTACTGGTAGGGTTTCAGATGAATTGAAACCATAATTTCTAGCCAAATCACCAGGCCAGACAGTGAATAATCTTTTTTTAAAATAACATTTTAGCATTAGCCTGAACAGCAAGGAGACTGGTCGAGCATTTGAATTGATATTTTTTTAGTTCGGAAATGGGGCCATCAGTCCAACTAGTTGGCTCTGGCATTTATAGTCCACACATGCCTCCCCCTCAACCCTCTATTAGTAATAAGCCTTGCATTTCTTTTTGGCCAGCCGGGTGTCGGACATATACAGAAATCCATCACCGTGCTCACGAGTATCCAAACCAAGCTGAGAATTCCATGCATCCCACCTACACATTGAAATCCCAGAGATAGTTGGAATGGAATGTGTGCTCTCTCTCTGGAGGGACACATCCTACTATTATTTTAATCTAATTCCTGAAGGTATTAGGCGCAGGTTGGCAAGAGCCAAGGCTCGCATTTGATACAGCACCATATCAAGTCATGGAGACGGCTCAAAGCGTTTCACGGAATATCCTGTAAAGTGCATTAACTGTATATTTTGTGGGTGAAACACGGCAGCGGCTCTCAGACAGCCGAGGGGTGAATGACCGAATTCCCCTCAAATTCCCCTCAGGTCAGTCTCAGGCCGGTGTTTGTCGATCGCATTGGGCTCCAGCGATTTTAGTCGAAACGAGAAAAAGGTTATGAAGTATTCCAGACCACTCCCCTCGCCCCCCCCCCCCCCCCGCCGCCCCCCCCTCGCCCCGCCTCCTCCCCCCCCCCCGCCCGCAATCACGTGTGTGCTTTGTCTACAATTTATTTTTTTGTATTTTGAAACTTTTAGTTTAACTTTTTAAAAATAAAAACACAACTCTGGTCCTCCCCCCGCGCCCGACCCTCCGCCGCTCCGGCCTTTTACCCGCCGCGTGGCCCCCCCGGCTTCAGGCCCCACCGGCGGCGCCTCCTACAGGCCTTAGCAGAGCTCTGACACCGCGGGACTGCCCAGGCCCGGCCTCCCTCCCCGGCCCGGCCTCCCCTCTCTGCCCGCCCGACTCCCCAGGAAAGGCCTCGCCTCGGTCTGACAGGACGTCCCGCTGCCCGAGGCCTACAGGCCACGCAGCCACTCGGGCCTTCTCTCCGCGGAGAGCGGCCGATGTTTCTGGAGTCGGTATCGGCTGCTCTCCGTGTCCGGGCGGCCCGAGCTCGGCGGGGCGGCGGCTTCCAGAAACTTCTCCGAGCTCCGCGCCTCGCACTCACCTCATGGCGGCGGCTCCTCGCTCCCCGGAAAGGACGGAGCATGCGCAGCCGCACCATTCATACCCCTCCCGCTGGAGCAGCCCACCCGACCCGGGGAGGGGCGCAGTACAACAACCGCAGCCCCTCACCCCATGACTGAGACCCACAGAGCCACCCGCAATGCAAACCCACAACTCTAAAACTTTATTTTGCATTTTGGCTCAGACTGTTGTTGGGATTTAGACTCGCCATTGGGAGTTAGTGTTTATGCTCTTTGGTTCATCCGCCCATCGAGTAATGATGCGCTCCAGACCGACGGTGCGTGGTGACGTTCTGATGGGTGCGTACTCACGTCTGCTGCGTGATGCTGCCGGGTTGGGCGGGTTTCACGCCCAATTGGACGGGTTTTTGTGGCACGATGCGAGAAAAGACGCGCAATTGGGCGGGAGCCTAATTTTAAATGTTTGTAAATTTAAGCCTACAACAAGTTCCTCCCCCCCCAACCCCCCCCCCCCCACAACACCTTGAAGACCATTTCTTACATAGTTTCAAGCGCACTGACCTAACCCGGCCACTCTGCTACCCATATAGCAGGCACCACATAATATTGGGCTACTTTTGGGCTAGTGTTTGGTGGACTTTGGGCTACTAATATTTTTTCAGGCCTCAGTCACAGCAACTGAGGAGAGTATCAGTCTTAGTGACTGTTCGGGCGGTGGGGGGTAACCGGGGTTTCCTCGGCGCTGAACTGGCTCCGCGGTGACATGTTTGATGATGGAATGTCAGAATCTGTGGCCATCTCCAGGGCAGCCGCAGAGCCTGGAGGGTCTCACTGCTGTGACAGCACAGCCCGGCCTGGCTGACCTGCAGGACTTAGGAGGGCTGACCAGTCACTGGGGGCAGGGACTCTTTCCACTCAACTCCTGTTAACCCTGCAAACCAAAGCCTTGACGGTTAGGATGGTCCGAGCTGGTCAAGCAGCAGGAAAGCTTGTCAGATGGTGCTCTCAATGGCAAGCTATCGCTACTCAGCTAAAACTCTAGCAGTACCCCAACACATACTCTGGAGCCCTTCGACTCTTGCCAACTTGTGCCTAATGCTTTCTGGAATTAGGTAAACAGGATACATACCGCTGGGGAGAGAGTGCACATCCCATTCAAATAAATATTCGAACTTTAACTTCCCCCTGAACAAGGACCTCACCTCCGTAACACCACCCGACCCCGCCACTACTCAGGCGCTGAAACTCTTGTTCTTGCCTTCATCACCTCCAGGCTCGACTATGCAAACTCCCTGTTTATCGGCCTTCCAAACTCCTCCCTCCACAGGCTGCAGGTAATCCAGAACTCTGCAGCCCGTGTCCTCTCCCGCAACAAACTCCACAACCCCATCTCCCCCATTCTCGCCCGACTCTATTGGCTCCCTATCCTCCTGAGGATCCAGTTCAAGATCCTGGTCCTCACTTACAAAGCCCTCCATAGCCTCACCCCACCCTACCTCTGCGACCTCCTAACCCCCGACCAACCCGCCCGCTCCCTCCACTCAGCCGGCTCCGGCCTGCTCCACGTCCCCTGACCCACCCGGCCCACCATTGGTGGGAGAGCCTTCAGCCACTCTACCCCCAACCACTGGAATTCCACTCCCCAATCACTCTGCCTCGCCCCCTCCTTAGCCTCCTTCAAGTCCCACCTCAAAACCCTCTTCGACCATGCCATCGGCCACCCCCCTTTCCCTCCCCTCCCTTCTCCCTCCCTAACCCCAGCTCGGGTCTGAAATGCTGTTCACTGTCCAGCCCTTTGGGACGTCCTCCCGATGTGAAAGGCACTATACAAATGTAATCTTGTTGTTGTTGGTTCACAGGCACGCTGGCCTGCTGTACATCAACAATTGGAGCGCAGTTCATAGGGACACGACAACAAACATACACTTAATAATAATAATATAATAATAATCCTTGCATTTGATATAGCGCTTTTAACTTTCAACTTAACATTATCTAATGTGAAGATCAGAAGCTTTGAACCACATCAGGAAGAATTACAGCATTAATTATAATAATAATCCTTGCATTTGATATAGCGATATAATAAACTGGTACTATCTTTACAACAATCCTGGCATTATGTCATTCAAATGCCTCAAAATGATGCACAGAATATACTGTAAATTGATTTGATTATATTTTTGGGGAGAAATGCAGCAGCCAATTGCACACAGCAGTGTCCCACAAACAGCTGTGGATTGAGTGACCTCACTTTTTTTAAAAGATCATTTTTTAAAAAAGATTATTATAAAGATTGTAACACAGTTAGCAAATTTTAGTTAACTGAACTTTGTACAAAACATTTTGCTTTGATTCCAACCGCCACCCTCTCTCCCCCATCCCCTCTCCCTGAGTCAGATCTTTATGATAAGGCTGCTTTAAAGCTTCCAACCTGCAGTGAGCCCCCCCATTTGAGGGCTGGGTGGCACACAAGTGGAATCGGATGAATGTTTAATTTGCGATCACTGTCTCTCGAGATGTGGGAATTAAATGTCAGTGCTGACTGAGTACAGATCAAGCATCTCTCTTCACTGGCATAAATAGAGGAGAAATCCACAATTCTTTGCGTGCAAATACTCCCACTGTCTAACGGTTCCAGACCTCACCGGGGCAGGAATGAATGTTTTTTGGTGAGCCGGGTAGCTGACACATGTGGAAACCATCCATCATGATAAAGAGCCTCGAAACCAGACTGAGAGTCCCACATTTATATGCGACCTATACACTCCAGTTTCCTTGTGTTTGGAATGGCACATTCTCTTGCCCCCAGAGGGCCGCACCCTGTTCACCTAATCCCGGAGAGTATAAGGCACAGTTTGACGAGAGCCAAAGCTGATGGGGGTGGGATGGGGGTGGATGGAATGTGCGTTGGAGTATCTGCTGGAGTCTAACCAACTAAACAGCTAAATCCACATAGCTTGCCATTGAGAGCACTGTCTGTCAAGCTTTCCACTGCTTGTCCAGCTAGGACCACTTATCCAATGTTCCTATAACTTTTATGCTTTCGCTTTGCAGGTTTATAAAATCTGAGTAGGAAGAGTCCCTGCCCCCCAGTGACTGGTCTGCTCTTCCAAATCGTGCTGACAAGCAAGAATAAAGTAGGGACAGAATTAAACTGAGACAAAGATTATTAAAATCTCAAAGCTCTCCCGTCCGTAAAAGCTTCCAATTTCCATTGTGGAGTCCTGTAGCTCAGTGGTTAGAGCACTCGCTTTGCAAGTGAGAGACCTGAGTTCAATTCCAGGCAGAGGGCGAAACCTTGGGCAAGTTTCCTTACTCCACACCTAATAATAATCCCTCCAAAACCAAATAAACAATAATAAATTGGTCATTTTCATTCTACGACTGTTTGTGGGACATTGCTGTGCGCAATTGGCTGCCGCGTTCGCCCACAAATATACAGTCAATTCACTTTACAGTGTGTTCTGTGAAGCGCTTTGGGACGTCCTCCCGACATGAAAAGCGCTATATCAAATGCAAGGATTATTATTATTATATTATTATTATTTGTTCCCCATTTGATTTTATTGTTACTCTTTCCTTGTCAGTTTTTCTGAAGCAAAGCCTTTCACAAGAAGAGTTTTACTCTCACTCAGACTGCAGACTGTGACTGAAGAAAACAAACTAGAGCTTTGCCAAATCAAATCTGGCTGATTTAATTTTTGCAGCCATAATACAACAACAACAACAAGATTCCATTTATAGAGCGCCTTTCACGTCGGGAGGACGTCCCAAGGTGCTGTACAGTTGGGTCAGGACCCGAGCAGGGGGGAAATGGTCAGGGTGAGGGGAGGGAAGGGAAAGGAGGGAGCGAGGAGGGGGTACAGAGTCGAGAGGGGAGCTGAAGGCACGGTCAAAGAGAAAGGTCTTGAGACCGGCCTTGAAGGAGTCACAGTCACTTGGTTTGACCTCATTTGCACCACTGTGTGCAGTTCTGGCTGCCATATTATATGATATATTGTAGGATTGGACATACATTCACCTACAAAAGGTACAGTCGCTACATTACATGGGGTAAAATCAAAACAAATCTGCGGAAACACTATTTCAGTGGGTCGTAAATGTATGAAACAGGCTCCCTAGGTAGACAGTGGAAGCAGAAAGTGGTGATTCATTCAAAAGCAAATTATATATATTTCTGTTAGGAAATAATATCTTGGGATACAATATATAGTTTGGGACACAACATGTCAAGTGACTGCAGGATGTTGGAAGGCAAACTGGATGGACCTTGGTCTTCTTTCATGTAGCAAATCTTATGTTCTGATGCACAGATTACAGTAAAATCCTGTGAAATGCTTTGAGATGTCCTCCTGAGGTCATGAGACTCCATGATCAAATGCAAGGATTATTATTATTATGAGAGATTGAGGGGTATAGCAGAGGGGATTATGAGGGGTGTGTCTGAGTGTCATGTGGAGTATGAGCACCAAGATGGACTAGCTAGCCTGAATGGCCTGTTTCTGTGCTATAATGTTATTGAATCCTAAAACTTTATAGGGCAGAAAGGAGGCCACTTGGCCCATGGAGTCTGCACCAATATCAGAGCAAGCTGTTCATTCAGTCCCAATGCTGCGCCTTATCTCCACACATTCAAGTCTCTCTCCTTCATATACCTGTCTACTTCCTGCTTGAAACCCACAATGACTCTGCCTCTACCACCTAACTTGGCAGGGTGTTCCATATCCCAACACCTCTCTGAGTGAAAACAATGTTCAATCTAATTGTAGTGACACATTCCCTAGTTGCAATTTAGCAAGGTACTAGCAGAGGGTGCTGCTCTATAACCTGGACAAGCACTGCATAACATTTTATTTGGACATGTGTGGTGTGAAAAATCATTGCAATCCACCTGCAGTCCCAATGCAAATTAATAATAATGAATCTGATGTTGTTCCTATTCTCTCATATTCTCAGTTGATTGATGTGCCTGTTGCTGTGATTTGCTTGCAGCTCCTCTCTCTCTCTGCGTTGAGTTAGCTGTCAACCATGTCATAGAATCATAGAAT